GAGTCATCAGCAATGCACATCTCTTAAGTGACCCAGAGAAGGAATAATTTCACAGGATGAGTGAAACTTCCACCTGAGAAGTCTTTAGTTGAGGATCCAATCGGTATGTGACTAAGTCACGTGGACATTCGTGGTTAAAGGATGAGTGGGACAATATCTTGTCGCAGTGTGACTTAATCACAGTGCTGATTAGCCGCTCGTGGCTGAACAGTTAAGTGTACAGACTAATAGACCAGAGGTCGAGGGTTTCAAACGCCTCGGGGTTTCGGGAGACACGCACTGCAGACGATTTCCGCGAAGGAGAAAGCAGATGTTTAGTGAACTCCGCCCATTCAGCACAGACTTACTTCACTTACAAAACGAAATCTCAGCTGAGAATTACCACGTATCCTCTCATTACGACTGAAGGCTTTTTGGTCTGCGAAATCAGTCGTGCGAAAAACATCAAGATATCTGGAATTCGAACTAGATTCAGGTATTCTGGAAGACCAACTACGCTGCCCATTAGTATGCATAAGTGTGGGGTGATATGACACGTGACCACTGTGTTACACCAAAGACATCACTAGGCTTTGGTCCAGGTTCACTTGCTGAGAGAATATGAAGACGACCAAGATGCGCGCTCGATAAAAGATGGAAGTGTGAATGACGCAAACGGCAGGCGTATTCTGAGACTGCGGAAAATTTCTTAATGAACTGGGCGGAAAAATGGGCAATTTCGTTCTATTTATTTTCTCTCGTGAGCTATCTATAAATCATACAAGCTCAAGTCAAGGAGAAGGTGCTTTAAAGTGAAACGTACAAATTTAATCACATAGTGTCCAACATTTACGGGGTCCAGTGCATTACCAAATGAAAGCAGGGACCTGAATAGTCTCGGAAGCGATGACGTTTCCTCCAGGACGCGGTATCCTGGCACGGGCCACTCGATGATCCATGTTGTGGGCCAACATTCTGCGACAAAATCCCCATCTCTTTGCAGGGATAGCATCCCGTTGTGGGGTTCGCCAACCAGACTGCTACAGATAACAGAGGTTCTCGGAGTCCACCAACAGGAATTCGATCATAAAGTGCAAAGAAATGCTTCCTATGTGTGTACTGGTTCCACGTAAACCTAGTAAATGGTTCACTTAAACTACCACAAATTCGTCAATATATACCCACGGTCTTCGCCGCCGTGATAACTTCTCTTAACTTTACGAATATTTCGGATCCTGATAGTTCTCTGGGAAAATGACTGGTGGCTTCTCCAGCTAGAACTTGTTGTTGTGTTATCTTAATGGGAGTTATTTGTGCTAAGGCTAACTGTATACACTGCTGCCTGACTCAAACAGCGCAATGCACATCAAGATTTCGAGCCGAACTGGTTTTTCATGTGACCTGAAGGATATGGCGGGATTCCTGACATCATCTATCTCCGTTATTCGTCTACTTATATAATGAAAGTAGTGAAGAATTAATGGTACAAAAGTGGCGGATGAGGTCGTCCGCCTCGTGTTGATCGTGTTGAGTAAGACATCCAAAACAGACAAACGTACATCGATTTTTGTAAGACGTCGGGCTGGATGAATTTGTGGTACTTTTACCTCAAGGATGAAAGCCTAATCAATACAGCAGTCCTCTACACGGCTTGACCGTTTCACTCGCCCACACATTTGGTCAGATCGCAGCATGGATGCCTTGGAGAGAAGGCACAATGCAGATGACGGAAATTTCCCGTGTAGCCTTGATCTGTTGGTAAAATTCAGTAAAAGTGGACCTGATTGAGTTGAAACATGTGGAAACCAGAAATGTTGAAGGAAAAGGTGAAATTATTGTCCGGACATGATGAAGTAACAGAGGGGTTACTTCTAGATTGGCCAGAGGGGTTGTGTGGAGCCACGTTCTGAAGGTGTAAGTTTATAAACTGTACTCAGGGGTGGCTCCTAAAATCAAGGTCATAACTTCAGAGATCGTGGTTTGAGTTCAAAGACTTAAACTTTGTAAGTAGACGGACATCTGACCTTGGCTACTGCCGTAAGCCAGGCTACGTTTTACTCAGCGGCTAATCAAATGGGCCTATTTAGGTTTCAAAAAAATCCTTAGAAGGATTGATTTCTGCAGAAAACCTTTCGAAGAACTGGGTTCACGTGCTTCTTGGAAACGACGATTAAAAGTTGCCTCGTTAAGCACCATGACCAGTAAAATTCACCAACTCAGTAGACGGTTCCATCATTCATTGACTGCATAGTTACGAAGTATTCAAAACGTGATTTCAGCTGATGCCTCATAGTATGCAGCCGTTTTGTAAAAGAAGTGCTTACATGGAGCAACCTTGAGACGAGTAGTTCTTTCCTTTATGGACATTGTAGTCACAATCCATATTCTCGGGCCCGCAATCAATAGACTTTCACGCGAACTTCGTGGATACGCTTTTTGTGATAAGGCAAACGAAGGAAGATACTTTCGGACTGGGTATACCCAGCCAATAGAAACAATCAGCCCATAATTTGCAAGCTGGAAGCTACTCCCTTCCCCTGCCGTTGTGTATCATTTATCTATAACGGAGTAACCGAAAAAGCCCACGTTCTTTGTGTGTCCTTGTGTAATACTCTGTGATGGTGAATTTTAAGTCAACGATTCAATAAGCCTCAGCGATTGAGCATGGCGAACAGATTGGTTTAGGAAATATACTGGAATTTCTTTTGGCTCAGATGCGTTCACTGGCGGTGGTTGATTCTTACTTCCAGATCTGCGAGCGTCAGATCTACGACCGCCTGATCGACCACTATCAGACTCATGTAGATTCTTGAGGGAAATTGATTTTAATTAACACGTGTTTTTTAAGGATTTGAACTAGCCAGTTTGTCGTCACATGTTGTGTAAAACGGGACGATCTAGCTACATCAACTGGTCAGTCATCGAATTCAACGATGTCTCAAAGTAAATCTGAGGTACTACTGGGCACGGTGTGATGGTTAAACAATTAGTCCTTGGAAAAAATTTAGACCGCTTGGTCGTCTGTTCCCTGAGAAGACCTGGAGCAGAGTTCACTTTGTGGGTATTATCGATTAGGTAAGTCGTGTTTGATGTGAGTTGACCTCAGATTCGGTGAAATTGAATGTCAAGGCGCACCCAGACATGGGAAAAGTACATGAGCAGAGAGTGACGGATCCCCAAGATCCCATTGGTACGTCACGTGCAGAAAGCAGGTGCGTTGGCATGGCTCACCAAACACGGCTTAGCAAATGCGATTAGTGTAGTGGGCCTGAGACTGTTCAGGACCGGAACCCCACCAGTGGCTGTACAGAGCGAACAAGTGAACGATCATCTTTGGCCATTTCGCCATCTTATACATTGACGCAGACGCTCTGTATGTTTTGTTCTGACACTACAGTCGTGTCCCCAGTTCTCTGTCTTCTCCCTATCGCGTAGTCTGGCAGGCTCAGTGCAGGCGTAACCCATAGACGGCCACCCATCGGGCTTCAGTGAAGATAACAGTAAAGATGACGGTGCGGTGAACTTCGGGACAAGTGCTCGTTTGCTCACAGTGACTGGTGGATAAAATTGGCATTGGTGATTTGAATGATGACAGTGTCACGGCGTTGGTTTTAAAATTTCGGCGCAGCGAAACACGCAGGTTTAGGTTGTGTACTATGGAAACAGGATCACCTGTATACGGAACGTCAGCGTTGATGTACTCTTTCGGTCAATTACTCGAAAACAGCTACTATTTGAATGCAACGGTACACACACATTGGGTGTGTGTTTGCCCTGCTTCTGAGTTTCTTCAAAAAAGTGCCGACCAAGGTCGTTCCCGAAATCGGGCTTTATAAAAAATTTCACATCTTTATCACCCAGTAGAAAAGGGGAAAATGCCTCCGTGAGATACAAGATAACCATCCAGATAAATGGATCGTTTTGGCAAATGGTGTAGCGTTGAAAATCGACTGCACTTTGAACACACTCGCGATTTTTCGACAGAGATTACATTTCTCTTGTGGTTATTGTTTACTGAAAGAAAAGTATCCTTTGACATTAGGCACTGAATTAAAGCTATCATATTATCGTGGTCGTCGGGCTTCAGTGCTGCAATGATCCTGAGGGTTATACAGGCTGTAACTCAGTTCCTAAAGGTTCAACCATTTCAGGACGTTCAAAGGGGAGCAGCCCGACGAAGAACAGTGAGTCCCCGTACTGCGAGTAATCCCATTACGAGGCGATCTGGGGAGTAAGGTCGTACTGTCCTATGCGATAGGAGTGTGAGATATGTCGTACTCTCCTCTGCGATAGGAGTGTGAAGACAGAAAGATGTTCCTTATAGGCGATCACTATGTTCATATTTGTAGAAGCAGCGATACTGCCTTCCTTCGAGGAAGGACGGGTTCGAAAAGGTCGCTCCTAAAACACCGCAGACTCCGATTGCCCAACGATTGAACGTGACCTCCGACACATTATTCAGTACGTTCGAAATACTTTTAAAACCAAAGAGTCTGGTGCTGCTCAAAAGGTATCTGGTTTGCGTAGCTGCACTAGGAGTGTGACAGTTGTGCCTGTCTCTCTGCGCCGTCGGCCAGGCCGGCCCTCTGCAGCCAAGTGGGTCAGAGCCTTGAGTCATTGGCTAAGGGCAGGTTGTCCGAACAAAACCCTGCGTCTTCCCACTGCCTTGTGGGTCAGACTTTCGAGTCAAAGGCTCAAGGTGGGTTACCTCAACTAAAGTCGCTTTTTCGGCCTGGGCGTTCGGTAAGTATTATTTACCCTTGTAACTCTTCGCATCGGGCAGGATGGTAGTATCAAACCGAAAAAAATGACAAAACGCATCCGAATTTTACACAATCGACCCTAAAATGAGTAAAATTCAGCCTGAAGCTATCCCCTGAATTCAGACTTTCCCTGTATTGAGTACTGAATACCTACTTAGTTCAACCTTAGTTTATAGCGAACAACTGTGCTCCGAAATACGTATATTTTACCACGTAACTATGGCTGCCCCATTTCACGGGTGTTTCATTCGTGTTTAGGCGTAAACCCAAGAAAGACAATGCAGGATTTCAGACCCATTGGATCAAATACGAAAGTCAAACGGGAGTCTTGGTATTCTCGTGAGGTAAGTTTTTTGTAGAGAGAAGGTGAAAGATCCTTTGCTCGAGTTGAGATGCGTTAACTATTCCTGGCCTCACTTTATCGCTGATTTCTAATGAATTTGCATAAAAGCTGGGACAGACTGCGCGTACGAAAAGCGTTTTATTCAGTTTGTCACAAAAGGATGAAAGTGTGAATGGTTACCTAGTGTGCGCTTCGGGAGTATGTCTCACAGGTTCGATTTCACTCATACGTATGCGTTCGGACGTTGAGCGGCTCCGTAAATTTACCGGCCATGGTGTTGACACTTTCGCCGCGAGTACATACAAATGAATACCATTCAGAATACTTGTATGAATATATATCTGCCGATTAGTAGTGAACGCCACACAGGAAATAAAGTCGGTAAAGGATGAAACAGAGTTTCGTTACAGGCCTTTCGGCCGACCCAAACTTTGTGGCGTCAGTCTTCTTCCTTTTTTCTCGGCGCAACACCACATTTCGTCAGTACATCACCGTACAGATGTTTCCGGAGGCCACTCATTGTCGAATCTTGTTGTCCTAGAGGTAATAATTTTGAGGAGGCAGCAACTAGAAGGAATGAAAGAATGAAACAA